TTTAAAATGGTAGATCTGAACGAGATCAAGCTTTTTCTGGGAATTAGAATTACAAGGTCTGATGATAAAATAACTCTTGATCAGAGTAGTTATATTGAAGCAATATTAACTAAATTTAATATGCATGATTGTAATCAAGTGAATACTCCTATGGAGAGTAATGTTGATTATGAAGGTTTGAATTCTGAAGAGAATTGTAATGCACCTTGTCGAAGTGTCAAAACATCGTGGATGTACTTGATGGTTTGTACTCGACCAGATTTGAGTATTGTTGTTAATATATTGAGTCGATACATGAATAATAATAATGAGGTTCTTTGGAAATGCCTCAAGAGAGTTTTGCGTTATTTAAAAGGGTCAAAAGATTTGCAATTGGTCTATGAAAGAAGTAATTACAATGACATTTTGACAGGGTATGTTGATTCCAATTGGGGAGGAAATGATAGTTCGGATAGAAAGAGTACCACAGGATACTTATTCAAACTATTCGAACAATGTACAATATGCTGGAATACAAGAAGGCAAACCTCTGTTGCAGCTTCATCCACTGAAGCAGAGTATATGGCTTTATTCGAAGCAGTGAGGGAAGCATTATGGCTCAAATCACTTGCAATTAGTATAAATATTGAAATTAATCAACCAATTATAATTTATGAAGATAATACCGGATGTATTAGTATTGCCAGTAATCCGTCAAGCCACAAGAGATCCAAGCATATTGACATAAAATATCATTTCTCTCGAGAACAAGTTGCAAAGAATGTAATCAAATTGGTTTATATTCCAACAGGGAAGCAATTAGCAGATGGATTAACGAAGTCACTCCCATCGGCAGGGTTCTTGGAATTCAGGAAGAATTTATGTTTAAAGTGACATAGTTTAAAACAATGTATTTAGATGATAAGTTGATATATATGACTTGTATAGGGCGATCAGGTTTTTCCCTGGGTTTTTCACCTGATCAGTTTGTAGCGCTATACACAGTATTCCCAGAAGGCATAAAGAAGGTGTATCTCAATCCAGTAATATTTTTTTTAGATGTACACATTTTATATGATAAAACTAGTTAAGGTTAATAGATTAATTTTTGAGGGGGCGTGTTGGAATTCATGCCTGAATACAAAAATTAATTTCTTAGTTTAGTTAAACATTTTCTCTTTTCCACCCAAACACTCAGGGTGACATTTATGGCTTTTCTTAGAAAATAGAGACGTGAAGAAAAACAGTCCTCATGGTGAGTCACAAAGGAGAGGCTGAAGAAAATTGAAACAAGGGCCTTTTGTCAAATGGGTCCAGAGAGTGAAAACTCTCATGACTTTTAGTTAGTCGTCCTAGAGACTTCGTTGGAGAAAGATATACCTTCTGCGTGCGATCATTAAAGAGTTTTACTTTGAAGAATAAAACTAATGTGTTTTTATTGAGTATTCCTACACATAATCCAAAAGTTTACAAAAGAGATTATACGAACGTGCTGACGATTACCTGCTCACGCTAGTTCGAATTTCGGCCGCAAGGCGGCCAAGGCATTGGCCACGCCCCCCTCAGAGTTCCCAATAGAGAAGTCGATAGAGAGATCGATCTTATATAAAGCCTCGACTGTACTCTGTTCCGAATTTTATCAGATTCTTACCCGGCAGTCTACTCAAGCAATTATGATCAGTATTGAATCTAAAACTGATTCAGACCCCGGCAAATTGAGCGAAATCTCCACTCGGGTGGTATGTGGCTCAATAACGAATATCATCATAATGCTGTAGCAAAAATCAATCTGCAAACAATACGTTTTACTCAAAAATGAAAGAATTTCCATAGTATTCTGAAAGAAAAGATTTAACGATTTTTCATTCAATTCTTATACTGAAAAAACTTTTGAAAAATCGTAGTATTTGCAGTGGAATTTGTTGCACTAAAAACTGAAACAATTTTCATAGACTTTTGAAAAGAAAAATTTGAACATTTTTAATTCAATTTTTCTCCCAATAAATGCGGGAAAAATCGCGATATCTTCAATGAAGGTCTGCAGAAACACCAAATTTCCGAGTAGAATCTTCTTCATCTTCAATGACGATGTAAGGTTCACTTGATTTGATACTTCAAACGATTTAAACTTCTCCCATTCCGTGGGGTGCTGCGGAACCGATTTTTCCCCCTACTGTATTGTAGGTTGGACTACGAGGACAACTGATGGTAACGGAAAACTTTTGGCGTACCCCCGCTCAATGATGCAGAGTCCCAATGTACCCTGGTGTGATACTGTCTAGAAAACGATAATGGCCCGCTCAACAGATGCCTACTGTTATAAGATAATCAATTTATAACATAGTTTGAGATAGTGTACAGGCGTACTGGCGAGACTCTAGTCTTTGAGTTTCATATAACATAATGGTGGGGGAATAGGAAACCGAAGGCTACAATCTCTCCAGTACGACTCAGTGTTGCCAGATACACCATAATTATGGTATCGCTACCATAATTCTACCTCTGATACCATATACCATAGAAAAAAGTGATGGTATCACAATTATACCATAATTTTGAGATCCAGCTGAATTATATATTTTTTGTCAATTTTTTTTTCATGAGGGCTATAAGGGTCACAGGGTACAGCAAGATTACAAGCGTCAACAGGGTCAAAATCCTTTATTTTATTATTTGATTATAAGTCTACTTGGTGTTACAAGAAGGGGTAACGGCGATGATCTTTGGCCCTGCGGACCCTTGGGACCCATTTGAATATTTAGAGATTAATCATCATTATTACTGAGCGTACAGAAGGATTAGTTGAAAAGTAACAGCTGAGTGAGAAGTCTGATGATGCACTTAGAGAAAAAAGTACTTCTGAAGAAAAATTATATTTTCCGTGTGAGAAAATTTGGTGGAGTGGAACAGATTTATTTCATCGAAATTCACCAACTTGATGTAAGAAAATTTGAGATCCTTCAGAAAAATTAAATTTTTTTCAGGACTATTAGAAATATCTCTACAAGAATTCAAGTTGTCGGCAGGAAAACATACAATTTGTTGTACCATAATCCTTTGAAATGAGTAAACTTCATAAGAATTCACCGAAGAAGGAATATATTCACGAGGACGAAACATTATTCTCCCCGAAAAACATGGTTCTCCTAGAAATTATTTAGCTTTGCCGATACCAGTTTTCGGGAAAACAAACCAAATGTTCTCTTGAAAAAATGAAAATGAAAATGAAATTTTTTGTTTTCATGATCTGATTTCACTGAGAGGAAATGAGAAAAATGCAGGGAGAGATGATCAGCAAGCAAATAAAAGAAAACGATTTTTCATTTTTCTGAAAAATTTCAAAACTGATTTTTTTTTTAATGGCGAAAAAATATCAATCTGTTCCCTTTCTATGATCTAATTTCAATGGAAAAAAGTGAAAAAAAGAACAGAGATACGTGATCAGCAAGAAAATAAAAATTTCGATTTTTCAATGTCTCCGGAAATTTTTAAAATTGATATATTTTTTCAAATAATGAAAGAATACCCATCAATTCAATTTCTACCCTCACATTTTGATTGAATGCATTAAAAAAATAGCAAAGAATAAAAATCGGACGAAAAATTTTATCGGATTAATATAATGTAATTTTATTCCGCAATATAGTTGCGCAATATTTATTACCGCAATATTACGGTTTGGTAATATTTAGAGCGATAATCCTAGGGCTGCGTACGAGATTTCATTTTGAAGAGATCGTCTCGCTTTAAAAAACGTGGAAATTTTTGGGACTGTCTACCGTCTCCTCTGATCAAGACTTGGAGATAATGTGTCTCGTCACAGTCTTCACTTCTTCTGGTTTTTTATGTTTGATCTCGGTTTCAGTCTCGGTTTCGGTCTCGTGCACGTTAAAAATAGGAAAAAGGAGGGAACGAGAGGAGACAAAATTTCTTGGAGTCGTGAAAAGTGGAGACAATCCTATGCCTGTCAAGAATGAGACAATCCCGAAAATTTCCATCTTGTTTTAGAGCGAGACAATCCCTCCAATGTGAAGTCTCGTTTGCATCTCGTGCGCACCCCTAGATAATCCGCAATTCCTACCTTATATTCTCCTCTCGTAACCCTGTCAATAGTAGGCACTGGAGGATGAAGTCTCAGACCCTCCGCAAAACATTGATCCAAGTACTTCATATCATTTATGGCCTCATAGCCCCAACCATGCTCAGCAATAGCTCTCAAAATATCTTCTCTAGCTCGGTCCTGACACTGCTTATTTTTCGCCAGTTCCATCAGTGTAAATGATGTAGTAGTTGAGCTGGACTCCAAACCCGCAAAAAAAACACCCAATTGGTGTATAAGATTGTCTCTTTCGAATTCTAAAGACAAAAAAATATTTTCGTCACTTCGTTTGTGAAGGCTCGCTACACGCACACTTTGCGTGCTAAAAAGCCGCTCTTGAATATCGTGACAAAAAATATGCTTCGTCTCAGCGGCGAAAAATACTCTACTGCAATTAATTTCCCCTCTTGGGAGATCAAATCTATTTATGAAAACATAGCTCAACTGTAAACCGGGTTCTGTTCTCCATTTTTGAGTTTCACTAGGGAATCAATGAAGTCTCCTCTTTTCGAGCCAATCCTCTCGCGCTCTTCGATAGCAGTCCAGAATAGTTTTCTGATGAAGTTGAAATTCGTAAGGATGTAGGAATCAATTTTTTCCACCAAGTTTGGTACGAAGAATAAGAGAACTAGGGCTACTTTTCGTTTGAACCCATGGAACATGTTGGATACTAAAACAGAATGCCATAAGACGATGAGGAATTGAACAAAGTTTGAAGTAAATTAATGGAGATTAAATCACTTGGATGTTTACGGAGAAAAATTCACTAGAAAAATTTACGTGCTAGCACCGGAAAAGTAGTAAAATTTTTAGCCTTCGTAAATGTTGTGCTGTATCAGAAAAATTGTTTGTCTGACACCAGAGAATTCATCTGCGCATAGAATAAAAATTAGTTCTGCCAAAATGGTATATTCCATCCCTTGTGCGGAAAGCGAAATTTCTCACCCACTTTCACCACATCGTGATGAAAAATAGGATACGTTAGTTTTAGCAGTAATTTAGCTTTCCACGCACGAAAAAATGCAATAGAAAAAATTCAAATTGACTAGCAAATTCAATACACTGATAGAACGGATTAGTTCCCACCAAATGTTCATTCGTTAATAGTTAACGAATTTATATTTAAGGAGGCTTGTTTGACTTGACTTTCGCCATTCAAGTGAACCACTCGTTAACTATTAACGAATATTCATTGCGTCATATTCAACTCTATCATCCGTTAATAGTTAACGAATCTCGTTTGGAATAAATGAATCATTTTATCAGTGTAGTCAATCTTATTGGATTTCTATGGAAGTTTCCGTTCGTTTTTGGCCGATTCTATTGATATTTTCTATAGAATTTCCTCGGCTTAAATTTTCCAAGTTTTTTTCATTCTTTTTTTTCTTTTTTCGTCGAGAAAATCAAACAAAACTTTGAAAATTTCAGCCGAGGAAATAATATTGAACATATCTTAATGGAATAAGTTGCGTAATAACGTGAATTATATTGAGTTTTTCTATACAACAGTTTCTAGTGAATATTTCAATGAAATCGGCCAAAAACCTATAGAAATCCAACAGAATTGTCTAACGAATTCACTAGGTTTTTCTATTAAATTTTTGCATACGTGTAGGTAAGAAAATAGACAGAAATTATGAGTGTTTACTGGACACAGATCTACACGACTTCACTGAGAGAAAAATCTGAAGTTCGATTTGCAATAAGAAAATAGTTGAGGCAGTTTTGGTGAACGATACGATTTTTTTTTGTATGCGGCACATAACATTATAGTAACTTCACAAGCGTAATTTTTGCAAATTAAAATGCAGTTAAACTAACCAAAGTCCAAAATTAACCACGACAAATCTATCGTGAGTAGAAATATAAAATATTAGCAATGACTACATTCCATTGTAATAATCATTTCTTCGGCCATATTTACCGTAACCCATGAGAAATTGTTGAGGACTTTTTGACTATAGATCGATGGTGATGGAATATAGTCAGAAGAATCATATTTTTCTCTCAGCGTTGATAATATTTTCTTGATAAAACCACTGTCTCATCTAATTCTCCGCAGAACTAATGTATTTACCCGAAAAACAATATAAATGTCATACGAGAACAGTTAGTACTGCGAAAATGAACATGAAAGTTTCAGGGGAAACTATTCTTATTGTTTACCAGAAAAATTCATTCAACGCGACAAATTTTTTGGTACGACACAATAATTTTTCTACTGTTGCACTACAATTTTCCCACTGCTGCACAATAATTCTTCGAAGGGTATGACTTGCACCACCTTTTCAGTGCTGGCACATGAATTTGTCTAAGAAATTTTTCTTCGTCTGTTCACACAACAAAACCTAAACGTAAATTACATTTAAGAAGTCTTTTACGCTTGAAGCTGAAGCGTAAATTACGCTCAAAATCGCCGTAAATTACGATTACATAAACGTATTTTACGACTACAAAATCGTAAATTACGCTTACACGGAGAGAAATATTCAGTAAAAATTACGAAACTCACAATTCGTTTACCGATTACGGAATCGACTCAGAAAATTTCAGTCCCGGTATCGTAATTTTTCACAGGAGATTCTGATAAAAATTACGGAACGCTCCGTGAAAAATTCCGTGACAATTACGTAAAATTTCCTACAACCACATTTCGCTCCAGAATTATGGAAAAGATATGTAATTTTTATTGAATATTTCTCTCCGTGTAAAGTCGTCGAAAATTAATTTTACATATACGTAATTCGCGACGATTATGAACATTATTTTCGATTACGAAATCGAAAATTACGATGATTTTTTCGTATTGTTGATAAACGTAATTGACGTTTTGATAAACGTAAAAGACGCTTTGCTTAGGCATAATTTACGTTTTTCTAAACGTAAATTATGTTTTAATGAACGTAAAATACACTTATTTGTTTAGGCGTAATTTACGTTTTTATTTTGACCGCAGCCAGAAAAAAAGCTAGACAGAAAAAAGCTAGATGACATCGTATTGACCTTAAATGTAAATTACGTTTATCAAAACGTAATTTACGTTTGGGTTTTTCTGTGTGTTACTTCGCAGAAGTTACTCACCGAATTTCGAAAACTCCGTATCAGGATAACTGAAGGTATCTGTCTCCATACCAAGGGCAATACTCGCAATTATATCAGTCGTAAATTTATAATTGAGTTCCTGTACATCGATAATTCGAGTCCCAGATTGCTGAATCTTCTGATCCTTCAGGTAATTCGTCATATTTTCCCCGACTTCAGCCATGAGTGGAAACATTTGTTTTATTTTTCCTATGGTGAAAACAGGTGTTATTTTACGTCGAAGGACTTTCCACGTTGGACTTTTCACCCCAAACAGATTCTTCATGCCCAGGCTATCTTTCTGCCCATTTCCAGCGAAATGCCGATCCGGAAATTTATCAAAATCCTTGATGAGCACCTGTTTTATGATCTCAGGTTCCCGGAGGAGTAGACAGGGCTTGTGCAATATGTAGAATCCGACGAAGGGTGAGTCTTTCTTGGCAGCGCGATGCAACTTTCCCAAGTGCAATCCTGGAGCTGTCCGAAACAAGACACCATTCTTAAAATGTCCAAAAAATAAGTCCGTATTCGGTAACTGCTCCACACCCCGACGCTTCCAATAATTCAATTTATAATTTGCGTAAATGAAAAATAAGAAGAACAACGGGAAAACACTGATTAACGCCACGCTAATTGTATTAATCATATTGGAACCGCTGATACTATTCATGATTCTTGGTAGGAGATTCGGTTAAATACTGTCATTCTGGAGGCTTCAGAGTGGGGAGAGTCCACGGATGGAATCTACACTGATAGAATGATTCATTTATTCCAAACGACATTCGTTAACTATTAACGAATGAACATTTGGTGAAATTAAATAGACCCTAGCTTTCAACCAAATCCAGTTGTCGACAATAACTAATCCTGTCTATCAGTGTACAGTTATGGAAATCGCTCTCGACCAACAGGCGAGATTAATCATTATTTCAGATTTAAAGAAATTTTTTTCCAATTTTGTTTGGAAATCCGATATAGCTCTTGTATTTCCGAGAAAACCTGTGAATTTTCTTGGATTTTTCAGAAGGATCTAAAATTTTGCATCAAGATCTAGAAGTTTCTATGTTGCATACCGCAATATGCAATAACGCGCAACACTTTTTTAATTGTTGCTTTCGAATGGAAGCTTTGTAATCGGGCATTTTTACGATCTTCTAATTTTGCTTGGAAATAATGTACAGGGTGTCCCATAGTATGTGACAAAAGTAAATTGCGAATAACTTGAATACGGTTAAGTGTAAATAATTGTTGTTTTTTTTATTGTACACAGAACATTCGGTAACTTATGATACAATCCCTTCCAAGTATCCGCCATCACTTGTACTACAGAACTCTATCCTACGCTCGAAGCTGGTATAGATGCGCTGTATTATGTTTTCATCAATAGCTCGGACAGCATCCGTAATTGCATCTTGCAACTCTTCCACAGTCGTCGGATGCTTTTCATAACACTTGTCCTTGAGAAAACCCCACAGGCAAAAATCACAGGGATTTAATTCAGGACTGTAAGGCGGCCATTTCATGCCCCCCTGGGCATACTTAGGGTAACCTAAACCTAACACACGAGTGACGTAAACGGAAAAAAGTGTTTCAAATACTCCAGTAGTCCTGTGTGGGGCGGCACCATCTTGCATGAAGTAGAAATTCTTGACTAATTGATTTTTTCGTGCCCAAGGAAAGAAGTTCTTTTTCAAGAACTCACTTTTTCGTTATTCGATACTCCCATACGTATTTTGCTCCCGAAAAATGGTCGTTTCATGCGAAACAAAAAATACTACACGGACGAAAAAATTTAATAGAAAAACCTATCGAATTCGTTAGAAAATTCTATTGAATTTTTATTGAACTGTTCTATTAGTGTTTTGCCGATTCTATTGAAATGTGCAATAGAAAATATTCAGTAGAAAAAGTAAATAGAATTTAATTTTTCTAGATAACTTATCCTATTGAGATATTTTCTATAGAAATGTCTCGGCTCAAATTTTCCAAGTTTTTTCGTTTAATTTTCTTGATGAGAAGAAAAGAAAAATAGAATGAAAAACACTTGGAAAATTAGAGTCGAGCAAATTCTATAGAAAATATATGAAAAGAATAAGTTATATGGAAAAATCGAATTCTGTTGACTTTTTCTATTGAATGTTTTCTATTGAACATGTCAATAGAATCAGCCAAAAATTAATAGAAAGTTTAATAGAAATTCAATAGAATTTTCTAACGAATTCGGTAGGTTTTTCTGTTGAATTTTTTCGTGCGTGTAGTTTTTCGTTTCGATTGTTCAATAATCGCTGACGAGAAATGAATCCTTACATGAAATAATAATAACGATATGATAGCAATCTTGTAACTTAGGGACGAAATAGTTCGTTATTATCGAGGGCAGAGCATTTATTCATGTTTGACTTTCAAATTTGCATTAAACAATTTCTTTTTTGGAAATTTTCAACATGCGATTTGTTGGCCCAAACCAGACTTGTTTAGGACTTGTTTATTTCTCTCTCAGTGTGGTCTGATACGTAAATCTCTCACGCTGTAATCTCACCTCGAACCAATCACACTGACAAAAATAAAGGTTTTGAAGAAATACGTCTTTACTTATATCAAGAAACTTCTGGCTTGAAAATTTTCGAGGGTAAAATATCTTGCACCAAGAAAATAAAAACTTTCGCCAAGTAATTTTGTACTTGTCCCAAAGACGAGGACAATTTTTGATGATAAGAAAGCGATGTCTCAAACCAAGTAAAATTGAATTAATTCATTTAATGGTTCTTTAGCCTCAATTCTAAAATATTTTAATGCGAAAACCACTTGAATTGATTTGAGAACTCGTTTTCTTCATATGAGCAAATTGTCCTCATCTGTCGGACAAGTATAGAATTTCTTGGCGTAAAATTTTTGTTTCTTAGTGTGAGATATTGTGCACTTGGTAACTTTCAAGCAATGAATTTCTTCATCCACTGATAGAATGATTCATTTATTCCAAACGAGATTCGTTAACTATTAACGAATGGTAGAGTTGAATATGACCAAATGAATATTCGTTAATAGTTAACGAATTGTTCACTTGAATGGCGAAAGTCAAGTCAAACAAGGCTCCTCAAATATACATTCGTTAACAATAACTAATCCGTTCTATCAGTGTAGAAGTAAAGAAATACTTCTCAAAAAACACTTGTGCTCTCAGTGCACTGTCAAAATACAGAAAAAGCCTATGATGAAGAGAATAAAATGAATATTGACAAATAGAGTGAACAATAATATTTATTACATCTCACGGAGAATTGTTAATTGTGTGATTGTTGTTCCAGATTCCATAGAATAAAAGTTTTGCATTTTTCGACACAGTGACAAAGCATATTTTTGTCACGAGGTTCGTGAGCGGATTTCTAGCACGCGCAGCATGCGTGGAACGAAACATCACGAACTGAGTGACAACAAATATTTTTTAGTATTATCTCAATTAGATCATAGTAAAATCTATTTTTTTCGGTTTATCACATCACTAGAAATTAATTATTATTAAGTGATTTTAATCGTTCTTCGTGTAGATCGAATGTCAATGATTATTCAAGCGATACCCAAACGATCTGATTACCTACTTTGATTTATCTTCGTTATTTGTTAACTTCCTAATCTGAATCATGTAATCTTGATAATGACCATAAAAATATCATATCTCTACATCTGCCTAGCGGAGGTCTTTTTGGCGTTTTTTTTTTGGCGCGACACGCCCAAATGATGTTAAAAGATACCCAAATTTAGTATTTTCTCGGTGCGTCAAAAAGTGCGGCTCCAAAAAGTCACGTACCGCTGCCTAGGCCTTACACGTATGAAAAAATTGTATAGAAATTGGCAGTGTCTATTCGCGTGCTCCACGGTAGATTCTCACTCACATCTTGTCTGACATCTCTGTTGGGAACTCTGCTTTTCAACTCTAAAAATTGAGTTGAAAAGCACATTTGTGACAACATTGTCCAGTGGGGTCTAGGAGTCTCCCCCGATTGGGAAATCACCCTTAAAATCATTTGCACTATATTTTGGCACCCACTCCTGCACTCGGACCCCATTAGACAAATATGAATATTGTTGAGAAAACGTTCACATGAAATGTAAAAAAATATTTATTTCATCATTTATTTGCGTCTAGTGAACTATTTGTCAACTATTTATTTCATTTTTTATTTGCGTTAATCTAGACTGATATTCGTATTCAACGAATTAATATTTTGAGAAAATTAATTACTAGTCAACTATCTGCACATCACTTATCAGTTGATTGGATGTGTCTAGTTTATTGTCTAGATTTATTTTGAGAAGTGCAAGTTGAGGGCCCACGATCTCCCATATATCCACGGTAGAAATTACCTTGAATCCACGTGAAAACGTCCCGTATACCCACGTACGAAATGCCAGTGTTGGAGAAACGGGCCAAGCCTGGCACAAGCCTGGGCTTGCCAAGCCTGGGCGCCCAGGCTTGGCAAGCCCAGGCTTGTGCCAGGCTTGGCCCGTTTCTACAACACTGGCATTTCGTACGTGGGGTAGGAGATGTTGCTGTATATCAAAAGCTACTCAACCGCCAGAAAAGTTTTTTTCGGCTTTAGAGGAAATCCACTATTTCGGCCTGCACTGTTAGGAATTTCTTGAAATTTCAATCACAGCGTCATCGGAATTTTCAATGTTGTGAGGTTAAATTCAATTTCAAATGAAAGCGCTAACTAAATTTCTTATTTATCTTGAAAATTCAACAAAATTGGGTTTTTCATGTTAAACAATCATTCATTTTTCAATGAAAGCTTGAATTTCCTAATTCATTGTGAAAATCGAAAATCAGATACAATTCAAGTTTCAATAGATTGAGAATTCAAAAAAGTTATTGCCTGAATTTCCAAAATTTTCAAGGTTTTTCAGGGGCATTTCCTACAACCACATTTACCGAAATTTGAACAACGACAAAGTTACATGAGATTTCTGTATATTTCTTCATTGACGAATCAGTTAATTTATTGAATATTTAAGTAATTCTCGATTTTCAGGTCCACACGCCCCTGAAATACCTTGAAAATTTTGGAAATCCAAGCAATAACTTTTTTGAATTCTCAATCTGTTGAAAAGGTAAATGTCCAGTTTAAAAATTTCAAGCTTTTTCACTTGAAATTTCAAGAGTAATTTTCTAACAGTGTAATGACTGAAATGTATAGAACGTTTGATTTCAGCGCGTGGCGATAATCGGCGTTGTTCAAGGGCTTATCATCACCAGAGATACTTCTATGTAAAAATTATGTATGTAACTATGTACCTCTATGTAAAAATTCCGATCCGCTCAGAATAATTAAATGGAAACTATCATTGATAGAGATTTCACCATAATCGATAAAGTCGAGATAAGAGGAAAGAATGCGACGAATGAGACGATAAACGGCATTCTTGACATGGCAATAATGGGAATATTACGCGCCGTAAACNCACGGTCAAAGTTGCCGTGGAGCGTGTGAATAGACACTGCCTATACAATTTCTATAGGATTTTCGTATATGATATTCGGATATTTCTATACAGATGGAGAGAAATGTTCAGTAAAAATTACGGAACTCACATTTCGCTCATCGATTACGGATTCGACTCAGAAAATTTGAGTAACGGTATCGTAAT